CTCGGCGAAGGCTGACGGGGCCGCGTCGTTTCTCCTCAGGAGAAGAAGGCGGGGAAGGCGAGTCAGCCGCCGCCGCCCCCCCTCCGGTTCCAGGCCCGGAGCCTCGGCCTCTCCTCCTCTCCACCAGGCGCACCAGCCAACCCAAGGCGCCGATCACCGCGCAGGCGGTCAGCAGCTCCCACGGGGGCCAACGGGCCCAAGAGGAGCGCCATAACCCGCCCCAGCCCGACCAGCCGGCCGCCACCCAGCGCTCCATGCCTTCCCCGAGCTCTTGTGCGGCGCTTTATGCGCACGCGCAGAAATCCCGAACGCCCTTTAGGGACACGACAAATACCTCAGGAACGGCCTCCCGGCTTCCGTCCGTCCGTTCAGGATTTTTTTTTCCTTCTTCTCTTCCCGCCCTCTTTTTCCACCCGTTCACTACCTTCCACTGCGCATGCCCCTGGCTGGAGGCCCTCTACCTTCTCCCCCAAGCCCAGAGGCCCCGCCCCTCCACCCTACATAGGTGCCCAAGGCACTGCCTGAAGGGAATTTCCAAATTAACGCGAGCAGCAGCCCGGTTCCCTTGGTGGGAAGGCCTCAGAAACGGCCACCTTCGAAGCCCGAGTATCTGCAGAAACGTTTATTACTGTTTTTCTCCCTCAGAATGATGATTCATGAATTGCAGGCTATTCAGAATGGTGATTCATGAATTGCAGGCTATTGGTCAAGGGAAAATATACAATTCTGTGCCCTCATGTTTCCCTGACCTCATATCCAGGATGCGCCTAAAAGTCCTGGGTCAAAAGCATGCATTTTTATTAAATATTGATATATTTATGCATGTTTTTCCTTCCTCCCCTCCACATTCCAATGCTTGGCCATCTGGGCCATTTGTTACTTTCCGAGGGCTCTTTTGTTTTCCTAAATGGGCCATAAATGCAATCAACTAGTGCTTTCTAATTGCAGAAAGTGAGGAGGAATTAAGGAACTTTGTAATGAGGATGAAAGAGGAGAGTGCAAAAAACGGTCTGAAGCTCAACATAAAAAAAAAACACTAAGATCATGGCCACTGGTCCCATCACCTCCAGGGAAATTGAAGGGGAAGATATGGAGGCAGTGACAGATTTTACTTTCTTGGGCTCCATGATCACTGCAGATGGTGACAGCAGCCGCGGAATTAAAAGACGCCTGCATCTTGGGAGGAAAGCGATGACAAACTTAGAGAGCATCTTAAAAAGCAGAGAACTCACCTTGCCGACAAAGGTCTGCATAGTCAAAGCTACGGTTTTTCCAGTAGCGATGTATGGAAGTGAGAGCTGGACCATAAAGAAAGCAGACCGCCAAAGAATTGATGCTTTTGAACTGTGGTTCTGGAGGAGACTCTTGAGAGTCCCCTGGTCTGCAAGGAAAACAAACCTATCCATTCTAAAGGAAATCAACCCTGAGTGCTCACTGGAAGGACAGATCCTGACGCGGAGGCTCCAGTACAGTACTTTGGCCATCTCATAAGAGAAGACTCCCTGGAAAAGACCCTGATGTTAGGAAAGTGTGACGGCAAGAGGAGAAGGGGAGGACAGAGGATGAGATGGCTGGACAGGGTCATTGAAGTGACCAACATGAATTTGACCCAACTCTGGGAGGCATTGGAAGACAGGAGGGTCTGGTGTGCTCTGGTCCATGGGGTCACGAAGAGTCAGACACGACTGAATGACTAAACGACAAGTGCTATCAGCTAGGTGTGAATGTCTGTTCAAGTTTCCAAAGTTAGGGCCTAGAAGGCCTGGTAATTATAAATGCATTGACAGTGGAAAAATGCAGGAAAAGACATGGAGAAATACCGCAGAGACACAATTTAATCATAAAATATGATTTCTTCACCCTCCTGTATCAGGACGAGACAAAAAAAAAGGAGGAGAGAGGATAATTATTAAAGGACTTCGTAATTAAGATATTTTCTGGTGAATGTGAACCATAATGACACACACAAGTTCACGGCGGCTTTTCAACAATGGATGCAAAACTAGGACATAGGGTAATGCCGCTTGACTGACAAGGGCTCTGTCCAATCGCAGCGAGGGACGTCACGTTGCGTGCCAGAAAAAGGAAATGTCTGTCAGGAGTTTAACAGCCGGGAACTCCGAGGCCCCGCCCCTTCGGTTGAAGGCCATTAAGACCAATGCCCGTTGGTTATGGGCCTAGAGCAGAGAAACGTCTCGCAAAGCATGATGGGAGGAAAGAACCACCACTAAGGATGCTTGGTTCCCATGGTAACGGCCGGAGCCAGGGTAAAGAAAGGAAGGCCCAAAGAGGTGCGAGTCAAACAATGTTCTAGTCCTACTTCTGGGATCCAAGTGAACACTTGGGGGGATAAAAACCAAGCAAAATAGATTCTGAACAACAGAGATTTTGTGGAACAAGAGAAACTAGCAAGAGTTCTCTGGCGTAAACAAGAGTCTGCAGCCCACTAAATGAGATAGCAAAGCTAATCTGTACATAATGCAACAAGGCTATTTTATTTATTATTTTATTTTTATTTTATTGCCACAGACTAATACTGCTGCCGCCCTGCCTTTCCAAACAGCCTTAGGCAGCTCCGATCTTGCAGCCTCATAAAACGGAGGCGGTCTGGAGCAAAGGATCCAGAAGACAGTTTTTCCAGAATCATGTATTGATATATTTATCACAGCATTCCAAGAATTTAAATAGAGAACATGCAGTGGGGTCACTTGGAAAACTTCTAGAAGGAGAGTACTGAAAAGGGGCCATGAATGCGGCTGCAATAACACCTTTCCTCCCTTCATGCCAGCCTTCGCTGACCTGGTGACCTCTAGATCATTATGACTACGTTCCCATCTTTCCTCACCATATCTACCGAAAGACACCTTTGCAAAACCATGCAGTCATGAAAGATGGATGAAGCTAACTAGAAGGGCATTAAGAACCTCTGAGCTATAACTCCCAGCAGCCACAGGAACATTGAAGAAAAGCAACTGCTTTGTCCCTGCAGCGTCATCTTTTAAGATTTTAAATAGTTCCACTGGAATGCCATCACCTCCACTGGCCTTGTTGTTAGCCAGGCTTTCTAAGGCCCACCTGACTTCACTCTCCAGGATGTCTGGCTCAAGGTCAGCAACCACACTATCTGGGTTGTCCAGGACATCCAGATCTTTCTGGTATAAAGTCATCAAAATAGCCAGGTATAAATTGAAATACGTAAATTTAGATGTTATGAAAATATGATTCGGGTGTTATGTTAAACCCTATGAAGAGGTGGCAACAGATGGGGAAGATGAACAGTCCTGGAGAGATGAAGATTCAGATCATAATGGAAGACTCCTTATAAAAAGAAGTTCTAATTTTAAAATAAACACCAAGATTGCTTACATTGATGCAACAAGGCAGGTTTGTGAAGAGAAAAGATGTCAACTGTATCTTTGCAAGTTTTTCTTACAAAAAAAAATGAAGAAATTTCAGGATTTTATTGATACTGTTTCAATTACTTGTTAATCTTGAACAGTCTGCTACTAGCTGATACAGATCAGCAAACAATGCTAACCTTTTACTTCTTTGTTTCTTTAAATTTGGTGTGTGCCCTTCCTATACTGTATTTCATTTTATTTATCAAACTAATATGCCACCCAACTGCCAAATATCAAAGAGTTTACAAATATAAACCCACAAATCAATCTTTAAAAAAATCACATCCAAAACTATTATCTCTCTATGCTTTTTAGCTTCTTTTTTGTCTTGAAGCAGCTTTTTCTCCCCCATATTTTACCATGATTTTAAAATATGGAAACCCTTTTATGAAAAACAGTTTATTGCACAAAACCATTCAACAATTTCTCTGCACATCTTAATAGTCTTTAACTGATTTTTTTTTTAAAAAAATCACAGTTGTTAAATAGTCAAAAGCAACATAACTTTTCCTTTATTTTGAACTCCCAACCAATAATTGTTTTGTGGAGATCAATATTCTCCATTACTCCATTCATACAATCTAACAGCAGTTGGTTTGAAAACATGTAAAATGTGTGAAGTTTGCATAAGAACATTCTGACACTATTTTTTCCTTTTCTTTAAACATATATACAGGTCAACACAAATTTTCATGAAAACGATCTCCCTCTGGTGAGCAGAATTCTATGGAGAATTAAATAATTTCATGGCAGCAGGCGAGCATTAACATTAAGCCCAGATCTTCAGGCAGAATGGGGGGACACGGAACATAATAGATGGAATATAATAAATTTCAGCTGCAAGGAGAATGACATGGCAGGTGCTCGCTGCCTAAATTAAGGCAACATTTCACTTTGTTTTTACTGTGGATCTGTCACATCAAAGGACAATGATACAGTTTGGTTCACAACAACCAGAAAACCTATTGTTATTGATCCCTGGCTGATCATCATTGCTGCTTATGAAAAGCTTCCACAAAACGGAGTTCTACATATGAAAAGAGCAGTGATGCTCAGTACCCCAACGAGCATGTGCGGTCCTGAAAATCTGGAACTTTTCCTGATGCAATAAAATGAACATTGTCTGAGTGCAGAATGACAACTGCTGGCAAAGAGGAAGAACGGATTCAACAGTGTGCTCAAGTCTCCAAACAAGCTGGAAGACTGTGAAATTAAGATGCAACTTACCGCAGTATTTCAGACACTTTACTTGCAGAAACATCTGCCCATTTTTTTTAAAAAAACAACTGTAACAATATAGAAAACAGCCTCCAAATGATCTTCTGCTAAATTTATGAAGGAATAATGACGTCTTTTGTAATGTCTGTTATCTAGACAGGGCATTTTTTGATTTCTCCCCATAGCATTGAAAACTTGGTTGTATAGGTTTTGACCACCAGGGAGGAGGGCGGGAAGCATAAAAAGCACCTTACAATTCCCAGTGGAGCGCCTTAAGATAATTTTTCCAATTACAAAAAACACATCAATGTTAAACTGGATCGGCTTGGTTTATCTCAGATTCCAGAAGGCGTTGCTCCCTGAACTACAGATTAAAAGACAGCACCTTTTAAAAAAGACTGAAGCTTTTCAGAGATCTGGCTTTCTGTTGTCAGTTAAGTGTGCTATTAAGTTTCTGAAGTTTAGATTTGTGGATCCCACTTCCTTTCTAGGCAAATGGCAAATAAGGGTGTGCACAAATCAAGAGAAGGAGACATTGTAAATTGGAAAAAGAAGAAACTGACTTAAAAGAGAAATCAGAATTCCTTCAGCTAAAGTCCAATAAGCTCTAATACACCCCAAGAGGCTACACACTGCTTTAAGAATATACAAGCTGGTTCTGTTTTAAAAAGTTGGTCAGGGTGATCCACAACACTCTGAAAACGTGGTATTAATAATATAGCTTTTTTTAAGCACACACAGTTCAGATGGGAATCTGATTTCTTGTTCTGCATTCTTTGATGCTTGATAAAATTGTTGTAGGTAAACAGAAGTGCAAAATTCATAAATACCATATTCCATTCTGTAAATAATACACCATACTAAATAGAACAGCAACATGAAAATTCCACTGGTGCAGATTTTGGAGCTGAGAATATATTAATCATTACATAGTATTAACTTTGGTGTTTAAATAATACAGTCTTTCTTCCTCTTTAAATTAGCAAGTGCACAGGCAAGAATGTCAACAGCAGCAAAAAAAAATCACTTATTACTATTTACTCTGTAAAACAGATTTAGGAAATTTCATCAGCATATATGGGTTAATTAATAAAGCTTTGCTTTGATAACTAGGGATTAGTCTTACAAAACAGTCATGTAATGTGACATTAATCCAAGTTTCTTTGTCTCAAAGGTTAAAAAAAACTTTACATGAGTATCTTTCCTTCATATTTTGTATGCAAAAATTAAGATACCTTGCCTCAGTTTCAAACCATTGTTCATAGTAGTGAATGTGTTTACAACTCCTGTTCATCAAAAGGTGCAGAGAACCAAACCTTCTGGATAAAGTCAGTTTTTAAAAGCAGCATGGGAAAAAGTACGTAACTGTAGCTCTGGATTAAACTTAGTCTAGGACCTGACCTGTCAACATCAAAATGACATTTTTGTGCATTCTCAAAACCCCCACATTAAAGCAATTCGTACAGACCCCCCCAACTTCTACCTTTCTTTGATAAACCCATCTTTAAACAAATGTTATTTTCAGACAGCATTATTCTCAACGGCTGAGACCCCCAGACCACTTGCTCCAGAGTTTTCTTATTAGCGATCAGTCAGTGAAGCAAACCTGAATTGAAGACGAAATATTATAAACATAGCAGATACCCATCTCATTACTGCCTTTCTGTCCATCTAACATCATAGCTTTCAACTCATTCGAACTTTCAGCCCAACCAAGTAACATAGGACCATATTTTCAATATTCTTTATCAAGCATACCCATCTTTCTTTCTATTCCTGCTCTCTTGCCGTCTCGCTTTGTTTTCTTACAAGGGAACCAATCATGACACGCCAGTGGTGTGATCCAACTCATCCAGTCCATCTTTAAGTTGACAACGACAGCACCTGCCCACAGAAGACTAATGGTTTAAGACAGATTGCCTAATATTATGGAGATACTGTCCTAAATGCTGTAGGGCAGTGCTTCCCAACCCTCGCTCCTCAGATGTTCTTGGACTAAAACTTCCAGAAGCCTTCACCACTAGCCATACTGGCCAGGATTTCTGGAAGTTGTAGTCCAAAAACATCTGGAGACCCAAGGTTTGGAACCACTGCTGTAGGGGATGAGACCAGATCTGTAACTAACATTTTAAGTGGCAGCTTAAACAGTGTACCTTAACATGAACTTGTAGAGGAAAGAGACTAAGACATGTGCTACCTCCCATTTTCCCAACATCTCTGTCTTTAGCCTAATATCCTGCTTTAGACGCCACAATCCATTGCACTCCAGGCCTCCACATATTCCATCCAAGAACAAGGTATAGCTTATACACCTTATACACATTCATTCTCCTAGCGGTATATTTTTCTAGAGTGCAATTCAAAGTAGAAAGGAGCAAAACTAAACCTCCTGTATTTTGAAACATAGGAAGAAAAGAAGATGGCTTTGCACTGTTGTTTTATCGCAGTCATTCCCAAGCTTGAACCCCCCAGGTGTTTTTAGACTACAACTCCCAGAAGCCTTTTCACCGCTCGCTGTGCTGGCCAAGATTTCTAGGAGCTGTAGTCCAAGAACATCTGGGGAGACCCAAGCTTGGGAACCGCTGGCCTAAGGGGAAGGGATAAGACAAAAAAAACCCTAAGGCATGTCGTTTTAGCCTGCTAACTCTCCATTAGCAGGGTCTATTTGCAAAGAAGGCTACATGATCACTGGGCTTCTCAGTAGGTATTAGGATAAGGCTGGGGAATATGTGGTTCCCCCCAGATGTTGTACTGCAACTTCGGCCACCCTAATCAGCATTACCAATGGTGAGGGAAAGTGGGAGTGGCACTCAACATCTGGAGGTGCACCAATTCTCCACCTGGATATTAAGAGAGAGAAAAGGGAAAGGCAGCTAAAGCTAAGAAACGGGGTTTATAATAGGCAGTATATAACATTCATCTTTGAAAAGATACATTAAGTAAATTACATTTCTAAAGAGCTCTGATTTTAGGACTAGCTTTCCTAGGCCCCATATATATACAGTATTTATCGAACAAAAGGATGCAACGTTGAAAAACAAAAAGGAAAAAAAAATGAGAACTAATGGTTCAGAAGCTTCTGAACAAGCTAATTTAAAAAACAGATGCTCCCGGGCAAAATAAAGTTGAACTATTTATACACAAACTGCGCCGGAAATGTCTTCAAGGACTATGCAATGATAACAAGCAATGTGCAAAAGGCGTCTGCAAAAGTGAATCAAAGGTTTCTGTTGGCCTTTGGTTGTGGATCATCAATCCATTTCCTCAGAAACAGATGCAACTGGTACAATGGGATTACTTCAGAGTAGGTAGTTTGGATATTCATTGGTTGCTGGAAAATTATTGGTTTGTAGGGGCTATCTGCTGCAATTAATGGGCGAAGCAAGTATGCTTCTAAACCAGTAGTCCCCAACCTTGAGTTGTCAGATGTTCTTGGACTAAAATTCCCAGAGGCCTTCTCTAGCTGTGCTGCTTAGGACTTCTGGGAGTTGCAGTCCAAAAACATCTGGGGACCCTAGATTGGGAATCTCTAATCTGAACTAAAAATGTTGGTCAACACCGAATCATCAGCCACCACCAAACTGGTGGGTGTGAGATTCTGGTCCAAAAACATCTGGGGACCCTAGATTGGGGATCCCTAATCTGAACTAAAAATGTTGGTCTACACCGAATCATCAGCCACTGGTGGGTGTAAGATTCTGATTTGCATTCCCAGGTCCGAAACAGACCAAGTCATCATAAAGTCCCTTGGCCAAATATATGGACTCTATACAATTAAAAGTCAGTCTAGGTAGGCAACCAAATTCGATTTCTCTTGCTATGAATGGGGAAACATCTTTCCTAGTTCTCTTGGTTTTTTTTTTCCAGGCGCATCTTTCCCCTGCTTCAACTCAATATCAGTTTATCAGCATCGCCCCCCTCGAGGATCACTGACAAAGTTAAATACGTTACAATAAACCATTGCCTTCAAATGTTTTGACTATGGCATCCTTCTGTTCTTAAAATCTAAAACAGATGGAGAACTCTGAAACATGTTTCCTTTTTTAAAAAAAAATTAAAACAATAAATAGCATCCATCAAGATTTTTATATATATAAAGCAACTACGGCATGAAGAAAATAGGTAATGATGTCACTATACTGACGCTTCTTTTTCAACAGCACTTTGATTCGCTTCTGGTAGATCTCTGGCAGGAAGATTCTGGTTGCCCGACACAATTGGAGGGAAGTTAAAGCTAAGGTCCGTTAGCTGCCCTTCTATCTGAGTCCATGAAGACATAGATTCATGGACTGTTACCGTGTGCTCTTCCATCTGACGTTGAAGGCTGTCCATCTCCTCCCTTTGACAAACAAGGGGGCGGGGGAGAAAAGAGGAGAAAAGAACATAAGAAAAGCCTTGTTAGATCTCACAAATGTTCCTCCTTTGCAAAAAAAAAAAAAAGGCATACTTTTCTAGGAACTGGTATTCCATGGCACAATCCTTCCAAACATAGAATCATGCAATAATTGAGTTGGAAGAAGCCGATAAGGCCATGGAGTCCAACCCTCTGCTCAATGCAGGAATCCAAATCAAAGCAGGTCTGACAGATAGTTATCCAATTTTCTCTTGAATACCTCCAGCACTGGAGAGCCCACCACTTCCCGAGGTCATTGGTTTCATTGTTGTACTGCTCTAACATTTAAGACGTTTTTCCTGATATTCTGCCTTAAGTCGGCTTCCTGTAGTTTGAGTCCTGTACTACAGGATGACGGAGAAGAGATTCTACCCCTCCTCTGAATGACCCCCTTTCAGGTACAGTCGTGCCCGGCTTAACAATTACCCCGCATTACGACGAATCCACTTCACGATGATGGTCTAAATGGGTTTTTTTCACTTTGCAAAGATCGGTTCCCTGCTTCGGGAACTAATTCTTCGCATTACAACAATCAAAACAGCTGATTGTCAGGTTTTCAAAATGGCCGCCGGGTGCTCAAAATAGCTCCCCACTGTGCTTAGGGACGGATTCCTCGCTATACAGGCACTGAAAATGGCCGCCATATGGAGGATCTTCAGTGGACGGTGAGTTTTTAGCCCATTGGAATGCATCAACCGGGTTTTAATGCGTTTCACTTGGTTTTTAATTTTTGCTTTACGACATTTTTGCTCTACAGCGATTTTGCTGGAACAAATTAACATCGTTATGTGAGGCACCACTGTATTTGAAAAGTGCTATCATAGCTCCCCCTCAGTCTTCTCTTCTCAATGCTAAACACGCCCAGTTCTTTCAGGACATGGACGTTCTTGACTGGCTGCCATCATTCTAGATACTAATAGCAAGCTCAACCCCTTAAGGCAGTGGTCCCCAACCTTGGGCCTCCAGATATTCTTGGACTACAACTCCCAGAAGCCTTCAACACCAATTCTGCTGGCCAGGATTTCTGGGAGCTGAAGTCCAAGAACATCTGGAGGCCCAAGGTTGGGGACCACTGCCTTAAGGAGCTGAAATGACACAATTCAAGGACAAGAGGAAGTATTGGTAGGTTTGGTGAAACCTATATATTTGTGGTAAAATCTCTGAAGCTGGGGCCAATTATAAACAGTTCAACATGGACTTGCAGACGCTGAGTAGCCAAATAATGCTGCTGAGGAGAGGGGACAAAAAACTATATTGAGGGACTTCCCTTACGAGTCCTACTTGTCAAGAACAAGGACTTGATGATCTATAGGGTCCCTTTCAGCTCTTCAGTTCTAGGATGATGATGATGAGGAGGAATCACAGATCAAGCAGCACACACTCCGACACCCGCCCCCCTCCCGGATTTTACTCACTTCAGTTGTCGGAGGCAGCTGTTGAGATTCTTCAAAGGCTCTTTGCTCACAGCAGACGAAGGTTTCAAAAGCTCTTCCAGCAAAGCCGCAGGGACAGGGCAGTCAGGAATCTTCACCGGAGTCGCGGGATTCGAATTCGTCTCTCCCTTCAGCTCTTTTCTCTTTTTTTTAAAGGAAAAGGAGACCCATCCACGATAAGCAACTTTTTGTAATGTTCATACATGCTAGGGTGAAATTCAAGAGCATCAAAGCATATACTCGGCTTCTCTGTCACACTGCTCCTAAACTCTGGAACTCCCTGCCACTGGAGGCCAGGCTGGCCCCATCTTGGCTGTCCTTCCTCAAGCAGGCAAAGACCTCTCTCTTCAGGCAGGCTTTTGCTTAAAGGCTGGTGGTTTGAGAAGGGCTTTTAAAATGGATCGTTGTGCTCTGTTGTTTTAAAATGTGTTTTTACTATTTGCCGTTTTTAATATAATACTTGTTCAATTCTTTTTAAATGTTTGTATACTTACTGCTTTTAGCTTTTAAATGGTGTCTTTTAACTGTTTTAAGCTGCCTTAGGTCCTTTTTAAGAAGAACGGCAGGGCAAAAATATTTTAAAAAAGCTACTTAGGGTCTCTTGTTGGGAGAAATGTAGCATATCAATAAAACTAATAAAAATACTATTTTTAAAAAAACCCTCAGGATAAATAACCATCTTTGGAGACATGTTCTTGCCCTCATCAGCTATTATAGCATGCATTTTCTGCTTTTGCAAAATGTACATCCCTGATCTAATGGCAGAACAGTATATGAAAGTAAAGGTCCTTTTGTCGCTATACGGGGCACCACTGTATATGAAAGTAAAGGTCCTTTTGTTTCACTTATTTATTTGTTGTTTATTTTTATTAATTATACTGCCTTTTTCCCCCTAGGGGACCCAAGGCAGCTTGCAACATATAAAAAAAATATATAAAATACAGTTTAAAATAAGATATAAACATTGCCATTTAAGAATAATGAAACGTAAATTCAGATTAAAAACCAAAGGTAACCTTTTTCATCCTCCCGTGCTTCAAGTCCAGTTTCAGCTGCTGGTTTTGCTGCAGAAGAGTCTTCATGCTGTTTTTCAGTTCAGACACTTTTGCTTGAAGCATAAACTTATCTTTCTGCGTGAAGGACAAGTCGTCCCGGACCACCTCCAGCTCTGCCTTGATATTCTGGATGAAAGGAAGACATCAAAGGCGCAGCTTATCAGCATTCAGAAAAGCTCACTGCAAAAGGGCAAGATGCTACTTCCTTTAGCCTTCAACCTTACACATACAGTATTTTCTCAGAAAGAAGTCCCATGAGTTCAGCAGGGCTTACTCCCCATTAGAGATGGGCACAAACTGCCAAACAGGGGTTTGGGGCTTCAGCAGGGCTTACTCCCCATTAGAGATGAGCACAAACTTGCCAAACAGGCGTTTGGGGCTTCCCAGCCCTGCCTCCCCCAGCAGGCGCCCATTCTGGCTTCCCTGCCCTGCCTCCCCAGGTGCTGCCTCTGAGTGGGTGCCTGCTCGGGGAGGCGGGGCAGAGGCACATTGAAAACCAGTTTGGCTAAAAAAACACACCACGAAATGGCATGAACCGCCAATTTGGCGGTTTGTGCCCATCTCTACTCCCAACTGGGCACATCTGGTATGAATCTGACCTTAAGTGGGAGCTTGAAACATTCATACTACGTATAAGGGTCCAATTTTACTGAATTGTTGCACATCTGGTATGAATCTGACCTTAAGTGGAACCTTGAAACATTCATACTATAATGGTCTAATTTTACTGAATTGTTACCTAAGTCTTTCTTTCCTTCTCTCTTGGCCAGAACAGAGGAAACCTTCCAAGCGATCGCTCTGGTCCAAAGACGTACCTGGAGAACCAGTTGTACTCCTTCCAACTCCTTCTGGCTCCGTTGCTCAGTCAGTTCCAGCTGCTGCTTCAGAGCCTGCAATTCTCTCTCCTTCTGTTCTACTTCCCACTTGAGGTCTTCCACCTTTAGACACAGAGGAATGTTATATCAGAACCCAACTCCTCTGCAAAACGTCCGGGTGCAATCCTTCGATCCTGCTGGACTTCAATGAGAATTTTTCCTAGCTCTATCGTGTGCTGAAGCATAGCTTTAGCTCAGCAGCTCCCAACCTTGAGTCTCCAGATGTTCTTGGACTAAAACTCCCAGAAGCCTTCACCGCCAGCTGTGCTGGCCAGGATTTCTGGGAGTTGTAGTCCAAGAGCATCTGGGTTCACAAGACTGGGAAGCACTGCTTCGGCTGGTTGCATGGCAAAAGTGGTTTTCAGATTAGAGAAACCCATCTCTGTCTATCTCAGTAAGAGGAACCCTGTTGCATCAGAAGGAAAGTCTTTTCCATTCCTGCGTTTTGGTTTCTTACAGGGGCAACCAGATTCCTGGGGGAGCTGTAGGCAGGGCAGGGAGGCTGTGACGTTCTTTTCAAGATGAGCAGTCAGAACGGACACGTGGTCTCGCCAAAGATTTACCTACAGGAATTGCAACTGGCTGGTTTAGGAATTCAGGAAAAAATGGCTTTAGCTCATTATTGCGTCTCCTGACCCACAACAAATCATTAGGATCTTAGATAGGCAATCTTCTCCCACCATCTGCAACCAGATCTTAAAAAAATAAACAAACCAAAACTGGCGATCACAGGGTCTTCCCATATGGGAACAGTGAGCTCTAAGGAGGAGGTTTTGCTTTATTTATTTATTTATTTATTGAACTGTCAATACCATAATTCTCCACTCTGGGAGATCTTCCTGCCTTTCACTCAGCCTGCAAATACCTGAATGTGATGCACCTGGGGAAAAGGCCTGAGTGGTAAGGCTTTGAGGCCTAACTAGGCCTAGCTCTGCCCAAACTTCCTGTTCAGAGCAGGAAGAGGAAACTTGGAGAGAGCTAGGCCTAGCTAAGCCTCAAAGCCTTCCAAGATAGGTCCTTCTCTCAGGTGAGCTGCATCCGGCCTAGCTAAGCCTCAAAACCTTCCAAGGTAGGCCCTTCTCTCAGGCGAGCCACATTGAGGTATTTGTAAGGGGTCTCTAAGGAAGGTAGAACTCCAGAAATTGGGAATTATGGTATTCGTAGTCCAGAAAATCCAAAAATCTCATTCCTGGTGTGCTCTACCACTATGCTCTTTCAATCCCTTTCCAAAAGGGAGTCCTTTAATGTTCCTCTTGGATATGTTTTCTAACAACTCATTTCCAATACGGCAACAAAGATTGGATGGCGTTAAGTTTCCACCTCTTGATTTTCTACAGGCTGCTTGCTGAGTTCCTCATCCAACTGCTTCTGCAGAAGCAGGAGCTGGGATCGGGCGTCCGCCAACTCCTGCTGGAACTGGGCCACTTCTTCTGAATGCTTCCCATCTGCGGCTCTAGAACAGAAATAAAGAGTTTGAAGCACTCCAAGAGGGACACACACACACCGCAAGCTCCCCTGGGATGCATTAAGAAAGACACTAGAAAGGGCAGTCCGTTACTGTATCAAGCAAGACTATATCCTGTTCAAATTATCAAGAGACTGCAAAAAAAAATTGTGTGAGATTTTATATACTGAAGGATCACCCGGGAAGAAACATCAGATGGGAGCGACCGATCCAAACTACAAATTATCAAGAGACTGCAAAAAAAAATTATGTGAGATTTTATATACCGAAGGATCACCCGGGAAGAAACACCAGATGGGAGCAACTGATCCAAACAGAACTACTTTTATGAAAATCGCAGTGGTGTGGAAGAAGCTTCAGAGAGGGCGAGCCCAAGACATTTTCTGCCCCAAACAGACGACACTCTCCCTCATTTAGGTACAGTGGTGCCTCGCTAGACGATGACAATCCGTTCCACTGAAATAGCTGTTTAGCAAAATCATTGTCTAGCGAAAAGAATTTCCCCATTGGAATACATTGAAACCTGTTTAATGCGTTCCAGTGGGGAAGAATCGTCGTTGTCTAGCGAAGATCGGCCATAGGAAAGCCGCTTTGCAAACCACCAATCAGCTGTTTAAATAGCTTAGGTCCCAAAAACACCCATTTTGCGAGCGCAGAGGGAACTGTCAAAATCATCATCTAACGAAAATCGGTTTGCGATTCCCCCATAGGAATCACTGTTTTGAATATCGCTATAGCGATCGCAAAAGTCAATGTCTAGCGAAAAAACTGTCATGCGGGGTAACTGTCTAGCGAGGCATCACTGTACATGGTACCCCTGCAATCACAGCTCAGATGCAATGGGGAGCAGCAGGGCAGGGGGGGAGCTTCTGATCTCACAGGGGAAGCTAGGTGGCTACCGCCGGTTTTCCTTTTACAGCCCGTGTAAAGCTCCCAGCATCAAGCCAGAAAGAGGCAGGAAAGGTCTGGGGCTCCACAGGGAGGTTTCCTGCTACAACGTTATACAGAGGGAAAATGCAACTCAAAAAAAGAGAGAGAGAGACCCAATTATATACTTTCTTAGGAAAAAGAATATTTCAAGTGTCGTGGCGGTACTCACTGAAGTTTCTCCACTTCAGCCTGGAGGGCTTGGATGACGGCTTCTTTGGCCTGGAGTTCTCGGTTAATCTCACTGAGTTCGAGGGCAGCTGCTTTATAGTGACGGCGATTATGCGCTGCTTCTGCTTTGGCTGTCGTGACCTGCAACAGCAAGTTGTGGTCCTGACTGTCTCTGTTTATAAAGCCCCTCATCCTGACTTGATCACCTTTTCCTCCCAACCTCAGCTCTCTATTTGGGAGAGGAGTTCATTTTTGTCCTTTTTTTCATCTCCATAAAGTTCTCTTTCTGTAAGCTTCCTTTTACAGCCCGTGTAAAGCTCCCAGCATCAAGCCAGAAAGAGGCAGGAAAGGTCTGGGGCTCCACAGGGAGGTTTCCTGCTACAACGTTATACAGAGGGAAAATGCAACTCAAAAAAAGAGAGAGAGAGACCCAATTATATACTTTCTTAGGAAAAAGAATATTTCAAGTGTCGTGGCGGTACTCACTGAAGTTTCTCCACTTCAGCCTGGAGGGCTTGGATGACGGCTTCTTTGGCCTGGAGTTCTCGGTTAATCTCACTGAGTTCGAGGGCAGCTGCTTTATAGTGACGGCGATTATGCGCTGCTTCTGCTTTGGCTGTCGTGACCTGCAACAGCAAGTTGTGGTCCTGACTGTCTCTGTTTATTATGGCCCTCCTCCTGACTTGATCACCTTTTCCTCCCAACCTCAGCTCTCTATTTGGGAGAGGGGTTCATTTTTTTCCTTTTTTTCCCCATCTCCATAAAGTTCTCTTTCTGTAAGTGAAACCCGCCCTCTTACAAGTACAGTACAGCAGTAAAATACCCTTTCATGTATATTATCATGTGCTTTACAGAGTTCAATAAGAAATTTGATCAACAGAATGCCTGCTGGCACACAATATCTTCCCAAAATTCAAACACACCCAAGAGACTTAGCTGCATGCCCTTTTTTTTTTAAAGGAGAAATTCAGCATCTAAATGTAATTCAGATACAGGAGGACCCCCCCCCAATATCTGCAGGATCAGTATCCATAGTTTTCACTTAGCCTGCAAATATTAAAAACATTAAATGAAAAAAAAATCCAGAAATATGGATTTCTACAATGTAATTGTATCAATGTAATTGAAGGGACGTGGTGGCGCTGCGGGTTAAACCGCAGAAGCCTCTGTGCTGCAAGGTCGGAAGACCAGCAGTCGTAAGATCAAATCCACGCGACGGAGTGAGCTCCCGTCGCTTGTCCCAGCTCCTGCCAACCTAGAAGTTTGAAAGCATGTAAAAATGCGAGTAGATAAATAGGTACCACCGAGGTGGGAAGGTCACAGCATTCCGTGTCTAGTCACGCTGGCCATGTGACCACGGAAACTGTCGACGAACAAACCCTGGCTCTACAGCTTGGAAATGGGGATGAGCACCGCCCCCTAGAGTCGGACACGACTGGACTAATTGTCAAGAACCTTTACAATGTAATTACCAGAACTGGCCACTACAGGGAACCAGAGACAATGCTATATAGAGAGTTCACTATTACAGATGGGTGCCTTCCTACTTCATATCTTTGTACAAAACACAGCATCACAGCGGGTGCTGAATTCCATCTCACTCCCCCCAGGCTAGCCTGTCCACTTACCAGGCTATGCACACTACTAGGGTCCTTCTTTAACAGAGGCTCTCCAATTCGGGCAGGAGCCTAACCAGCCCTTCCCTGCCTCCTCAGACAGTCAACCACTCTGGTGATGAGTGGTTGGCTGCCTGCGGAGGCAGGGAAAGGCTGGCTGGGCTCCTGCAGCATGCAGAGCCCAATAGGTGGACCAGCTGGCCTGGGGGTAGGGAGATGGAACTCAGCACCACCTGTGGTTCTGTGCTTTGTACAAAGCTATGTGAAGTACAAATCCTGCATCTCTATTCACTACTATCTGCAGTTTTTGGCATCTATGTTGGGGCGGGGGGCTTGGAACCAATCCCCTGTGGATACCGGCGCTCTAACTATAGGTTACTGGCACAAGTTTAGTCCTAATCACAGCTACTGTATAGTGTTTCCAAAATTTAACCTTTTTTGTGTTGCCCTTGACCTTTCCATGTTAGAATGACAGACTGGCTTAATGTAACTCTAGACATTTATACAGCCTTCAGGACTATCCTACCTAGGGACGTGGTGGACCTAGGGGCGTGGTGGCGCTGTGGGCTAAACTGCAGAAGCCTGTGCTGCAGGGTCAGAAGACCAGCAGTCGTAAGATCGAATCCACGCGACGGAGTGAGCTCCTGTCGCTTGTCCCAGCTCCTGCCAACCTAGCAGTTCGAAAGCAGGCAAATGCGAGTAGATGAATAGGGACAACTTCGGTGGGAAGGTAACAGCGTTTTGTGTCTAAGTCGCACCGGCCATGTGACCACGGAAGATTGTCTTTGGACAAAACACTGGCTCTATGGCTTGGAAACGGGGATGAGCACCGCCCCCTAGAGTCGGACACGACTGGACAACAATTGTCAAGGGGAACTTTTACCTTTACCAGGACCATCCTAATGAATATAGTCCTGATGCTCCACTTGCATTTTCCAGATGTTATGAACTACAACTATCACACATCTCCATCACCACTGGCCATGCTGGTTGGGGGCGACTGGAGAACCACAGTCCTAAACTCCAGGGTATGTGTGGGTGTTACTGCCTCCTCCATCTTCATAGTACAGTAATCCTGGACTGTGTGAATAATGTTACTGCCATCCTGACATCATAGATTGGTTAGAGCTGGTGATGGAGTGTTGGGTAAGGGGTTGAGATGTGTGGGAGGGTTACCTATGGCCACTCACTGTGCTTCAGCCGAGATCTTAAGCCCTATCACACTGCCATGGATGGCTTCATGTTTATATATGGACTCCGCACTTGCAAGCCTTTTTCTGACATGGAGGGGAGGGCCAGTGTTGCATGCTCGAGCCAAAAAGACAGCCAGTCGCTAAGTTCTCACCTGTTCCTTCAAGTCTTTGACTTTGGACTTCTCTTTCTCCAAGGCCGTCTGCAATGCCTGGATGAGCTGTTTCATCTGCTGATCTTCCTCCTCCTTGCGCTTCAGCACTGCCTGGACCTGAAGATTCAGTTGCACCAGATCTGCTTCCCTCTTGGCCAAGGCCGCTTCGAGGATGCGATTGTGTTCTCGCAGAGCCACGTTGGACTGGCCCAGGCCCGTGAGCTTCCCACGTTCGTGTTCTAGTTCCAGAGACAGCTTCTTGTTCGTTTCTTCCAGACGCTTTATCTTCCTCCTGAAGCCTCTTGCTTCCTGAAGCTGAACCGCACCATAGGGAATTACTACAAAGCTAAGATATTGCCACGCAGGCTTGATTAAGGCTACTGAGTTACCCACAATGGAGTCTCCCCTTCCAAAGCAGACATTTCTAAATGTTTAGTACTTTAGATGTGGAAAGAGTGTTATCTGTGGGTTGCATGTGATGCTCAGAAAAAATTACAGTCTCCTAAGATGGGTTTTCTGCAAGATAAACAAAACCCTTGAGATTCTGGACTCTGGGGGATCATGACTCTCCACTGAAACAGGAGTGTGTCACTCAAAACACCCAACAGAACTACTGGATAGCTCAGTGGTTGAGGTCTCTGGCTGTGGAGCCAGAGGTTGGGAGTTTGATTCCCCCACTGTGCTTCCTTGGCAGAGGCTGGACTTGATGATCCTTAGGGTCCCTTTCAGCTCTGTAGTTCTTTATTACAGTGGTGCCCCACATAGTGACGATAATCCGTGCAGTAAAAATTGTCGCTATACGGATTCGTCCCTATGCGAAATAAAAAAGCCCATAGGAATGCACTGAAACCCCTTCAATGCATTCCTATGGGCTTAAAACGTACCTTTTAAGCAAAAATCCTCCATACGGTGGCCATTTTAGCTGCCCGGTAAGCGACGAATCTGTCCCTGTTTTACTTGGTGGCCATTTTGGAACCACCGATCAGCTGGGGAAAAATCATCGCTATGCGAAAATCGGTAAGAGAAAACAGCTTACCGATCATCGCAAAGTGATTTTCCCCCACAGGAAACGTTATGCGATCGTAAAAGTGATCGCAAAAACATCGTCGCTATGCGGATTTGTCGTTAAACGGGGTGCCCGTTATGCGAGGCACCACTGTATATTATATTATATACTACTGTATTATATTATATTACCATATTTTCCATGTATAAGTTGCCCCCATGTATAAGCCCCCCCCCCCCACTTTTCTAACCCAAAATTAAGAAATCTAAGTTGGGCTTAGCAAGTGGAGGGGAAAGCAGGAATCAAAGCCCAGCAGGACCACTTTGATCCCTGCTTTCCCCCTTCCACTTAGCTTTGTTCTCTCTTCAGCTTATTTCCGTGTATAACACAACCCTCAATTTTTAGTCTAAAGATTTTAGATAAAAGTATAATCTTCTACACGGGAAAATACGGTATATTATCTCATCTCTTTACCCAAAGCATCCAGTTTGATTTGGAAGGACTGATGCAGCCACTGGAGGCTCCTGGAACCAGAAAAATTACCCAAGACCCCTGAAAATTGCTCATTCCTGCCGCACATCAACACCATCCTTGCCTCCGTTTAGGGAAGCGATTGTCCAGGTTCATTCTGCTGTGCCTGAGTTCAGTGGATTCCCTCCGCCAACCAACCAAAACCTTATATTTTGAAAGGATAAAAACCTGATAAATGACTTTGGATTTCCCAAAAGCTGGGTGGTCCACTTTCTCACTCCTGGGGGAAACCACTCGTCTTCCTTGAAATACCAGGGGCACACCTCTACCCTCCGTAGCTCCAAAATCATTCATCAAAGCCACTTGTCTTTTTAGGAGGGAAGTGAAACGTCTGGAGCCTCCGTACAACTGGCAGAGTCAATTTTCTATTGGCTTCCCTCCTGGGTCGAAGGATGTGAGGGACAGCTCTTAACTTAATATTTATTTCAGATGCTGGATAGAATTGCACCAGGACAAACAATAACCAGTGGCTTTCCAGGTGTTGCTATAGAGCAACTGTCACATGCCAAGTACTGGCTATTCCCGCTGTCAGAGATCTGTGCCTTCAACTTGCTCAGCTCTGCTTCGGACGACTCCTTCGCGGTGAGAGCTTCCTGCAGGCGCCGACTAAGGATCCCAACCGCGTTCTCGTAGGCTTTGTGTTTTGCTCTCATCTCTTTCTGGGCTGAGTTCAAGTCTGTGCCCAGGCGCTTCATCTTCTGCTTCTGCTCAGTAATAGCCCTGCATAAAATAGATAAAGCACATAAAAATGTGTGGTGCAGTGGACAGAGCAATAGACTAGGACTCAGGAGGCCTGGGTTCGAATCCCTGCTCAGCCCTGGAAACTCAACTGGGGAAAAACCCTCCTTAAATATCTCACCTTGAAAGCCCTATTGGGACCTCTATACATTAGTTCTCACGTGATGGCACAGAATAACAACACGGTGTGGGGAAGCAGAAATGACCAATTCTCGTTTTCAACTGGTTGGTCCCCATTTGGGAGGGCATCTGATTTCTAACCGGGGGTCGTGAAACACAGGGAAATGTGCTTGAAAACCTACCCCTTCCACTGTGACCTGAACCACACAACACGGCAATTGTCACAGCTGTCACTCAATGCAAGGTTGTTTTTGTGATATAATGGGGTTAATCGTTGTTAAAGATCTAACGGGAAGTTGTTCTGTGTAAGTCCGATTGAAAGCTAACTACCATGCTTTTGTGCAGCCCCTATGCAACCTGCTGATATCTTCTGGATTTATAGGCATGAAATCAAATTTGTATTCCAGCCGGCCTCCTTAATAAATACCCTCAATTTGCAACATCCTACTTTCAGTATTTATGTTAGAACAGGGGCTGGGGGGGGGCTCCCAAGCAGCAATCAATCAATCAATCAATCAATCAATCAATCAATCAATCAATCAATCAATCAATCAATCAATCCAATCAATCAATCAATAAATGTCTACTTTCATCCCTGGATAGAACTCAGAAGCTATAAGCATCAATTAAATACAAATTTAATCTGAGGTAGAAAATCAGCACCACATGCATGGTACACAACATATGCTATTTTTTTTTTTAAAAAGAAAAGATTATTTCGGACAGAAGGTTGGCAATGCTCCCATAATATTTCTACTGTCTTGCCGTATTAATTGGCATTAGGCAGGAATACAAATTAATCAGATCATATGATTAGACAAAGACATACTATAGGAATTAAC